AATTTAACAAGTTTTTTTCTCGTAATTTAATGAGTTTATTCTCAACGTTTTATTTCCACTTTATTCTCGTAATTTAATGAGTTTCTTTCTCGAAACACAACAATTTTTTCTCGTAATTTATTGAGTTTATTCTCAGCATTTTATTTCAACTTTATTCTCGTAATTTAATGAGTTTCTTTCTTGAAACTCAACACCTTTATTCTCGTAATTTAATGAGTTTCTTTCTTGAAACTCAACACCTTTATTCTCGTAATTTAATGAGTTTCTTTCTTGAAACTCAACACCTTTATTCTCGTAATTTAATGAGTTTCTTTCTTGAAACTCAACACCTTTATTCTCGTAATTTAATGAGTTTCTTTCTTGAAACTCAACACCTTTATTCTCGTAATTTAATGAGTTTCTTTCTTGAAACTCAACACCTTTATTCTCGTAATTTAATGAGTTTCTTTCTTGAAACTCAACACCTTTATTCTCGTAATTTAATGAGTTTCTTTCTTGAAACTCAACACCTTTATTCTCGTAATTTAATGAGTTTCTTTCTTGAAACTCAACACCTTTATTCTCGTAATTTAATGAGTTTCTTTCTTGAAACTCAACACCTTTATTCTCGTAATTTAATGAGTTTCTTTCTTGAAACTCAACACCTTTATTCTCGTAATTTAATGAGTTTCTTTCTTGAAACTCAACACCTTTATTCTCGTAATTTAATGAGTTTCTTTCTTGAAACTCAACACCTTTATTCTCGTAATTTAATGAGTTTCTTTCTTGAAACTCAACAACTTTATTCTCGTAATTTAACAAAAAAAATTCTCGAAACACCTTTTTTCTCGTAATTTAATGAGTTTATTATCAGCATTTTATTTCAACTTTATTCTCGTAATTTAACAAGTTTTTTTCTCGTAATTTAATGAGTTTATTCTCAACGTTTTATTTCCACTTTATTCTTGAGCATTTTATTTCAACTTTATTCTCGTAATTGAATGAGTTTCTTTCTCGAAACACAACAACTTTTTTCTCGTAATTTATTGAGTTTATTCTCAGCATTTTATTTCAACTTTATTCTCGTAATTCAACGAGTTTCTTTCTCAAAATGTTAACGAATTTTTTTCTCGAAACACCTTTTTTCTCGTAATTTAATGAGGTTCTTTCTCAGCATTTTATTTCAACTTTATTCTCGTAATTTAACGAATTTTTTTCTCGAAACACCTTTTTTCTCGTAATTTAATGAGTTTCTTTCTCAGCATTTTATTTCAACTTTATTCTCGTAATTTAACGAATTTTTTTCTCGAAACACCTTTTTTCTCGTAATTTAATGAGTTTCTTTCTCAGCATTTTATTTCAACTTTATTCTCGTAATTTAACGAATTTTTTTCTCGAAACACCTTTTTTCTCGTAATTTAATGAGTTTCTTTCTCAGCATTTTATTTCAACTTTATTCTCGATATTTAACGAGTTTAATCTGGCATTATAATTACTTTAATCTTGAGATGGTTTTCTTTTTTTATTATTCCTCTTCCGTAAAAAACATTTTTTGATGAGAAAAAAAAAATGTATGAATTTTTTTTATGAGAAAACTTTTTTGATGGGAAAAAAAAACTTTGTGAGGAAAAACATTTTATTGATGAGAGAGAATTATTATTATATTTTTTTATGTTAGAAATATTTTTTTTGAGAGGACAAAAAAAAAAAAACAGAAGTATTTTGATCTTTCCTAATCTAATTCATTCTGCCCCGAACTGAGCGGCGGTTGATGTGTGTGTAGTAATGTGTAATATCTGTGTGTTTGCAGCGAGTGCGAGCTCTCAGCTGCTGGAGCAGACGGCCAAGATGAAGTCTCTGAGCGACGCGCTGGATAAACTGAAGGTCAGTGTGACGTACAGTGTGTTCTGATGAAGTGCAGTGTGTTCTGGTGCTGTTTGACTGTGTGTTTGTGTCTCAGGCTGATGTGTCGCAGCACATCGTTTCGCAGCGGCCTGGAGCTCGTATGCCGTCTGACTTCGCCACGTTCCCCTCCGCCTCTTTCGTCAAGGTAAGAGCTGACAAACACATGATTTATTAGGCTTTCAAAGTCTGTGCATTAGTGAACGTGCAGACGTGTGTGTCTCAGGCCAAAGTGGAGCAGCAGATCGGCTCGGTGCTGGTGGGGAAGGTGATGATTCCCTGCGCTCGCAGCGTGGAGCAGACACACCGCCTCGTCCTGTCGCAGCAGCAGCTGCAGCGCGTGCATCGCCTGCTCATGACGTAAACAATCCCGCGCTCTCAGGAAACATCCGGCGCCAAAGACAGCTGCTCATCTTCTGAAAGCCATTCAACGCCTAAACACATCCATCACGTTTCTCACATGGGATAATACAGCAGTTGTGACTCGGATCTCACAATTCTGACTTTTTTTAGTATTGCGACGCAATCTCAGAATTAAAAAGATATAAAGCAGAATTGCAAGATATAAACTCAGAATTCTGACTTTTATGAAAATCTGAATTGCAAGAAAAGTTTGTACAGAGATGTATAATCGGGATTGCGAAAAAAGTCAGAATTCTGTTACATCGAAAAAATGTTTTCTTTTCAATTCTGACATTTTCTCAGACATTCTGAGTTTAAGTCATGCAATTCTAACTTTTTTTCTGGTAATTCTGAGTTTATATCTCACAAGTTAGTATTGCGACATAGCATCTTAGAATTTGAAGATATAAACTTCAGAAAAAAGTCAGAATTGCAAGATAATTTTCTTTGGGGAAACAATAAGAATTTCAAATATAAAAATACTGATATAAAATCAGTATTATGAAAAAAAAAAGTCAGAATTTTGAGATATAAACTCAATTGCAAGAAAGTAAGTCAGAATTCTGAGTTTACTGCAATTTTGACTTTTTTTCTCATAAATTTGAGTTTACATTTTTGTGGGGGAAAACAAAAAACAGAATTGTGGGATGTAAACTCATAACTCAGAATTACGGACAAAAACAGAATTCTATCGCAATTCTGACTTTCTTTTCTCACAAATTTAAGAGTTCAAATCTTGAAATTCTGAGAAATAAAATGTCAGAATGGCAAGATATAAACTCAGAATTAGGAGATATAAACTCACAATTGTGAGAAAAAAAGTTATTTTGTGTTGGAAACAAAAATTAGAATTGCGAGATATAAACTCAGAATTGTGAAAAAGGAAGTTATAATTTTGCTTGTTTACATCTCACAATTTTGACTTTTTTGCGAGTTTATATCTTGCATTTCTGAGAATAAAGTAAAAATTGCAAAACTGAGAGTTGTCTGAATTGTGAGAGAAAGTCATAAATGTTATTTTTGTTTTTATTATTCCGTGACGGAAACACGCTTCCTTGTGTTTCAGAGGAACTCAAAAGGAGACGCTCTAAAGTTCTGCTTTTGTTTTTCACTGAAAACAATCACAGCATATGGATTTGCAAAGACATTTTCATGTTGGTTGAAATATTCTTTTATATTTTCTCAAAGCTGAACCCGTGCGGTCAAACAGCTTTAACTTTTAATTAGCTGATCTTTGTTAAGTGGTTCGCCGATATCTTTGCTTCCATGCTTTGGTTTTCTAGTTCGTCTAATCGTTTGGTTGCACATTTCACATAACCAAATGTTCGTTTAGTCAGTTTTTGAGTACACTTGGTGAAGGAGGTTAAAGGGCTAACTGTACTAGTTCACATGAAAGGAAAGCACTAAGAGACCAGTAGGTTTCGATGATAATCACCAGTAACTCACTCATATATTAGCGCTTCATTAGATTCAAAGCACCAATCAATCAAGATCCACGACTATTAAAAGAAGAACATCGTTTGACCGACACTCGTGATTTATGAGTCAGAAGCACAAGTGTGTTTTCAGTCTGTTTTCTAGATTTAACACCTTTTGCAAATGTCTATGACTCCTCTGATCTTCAGTACAATATGATCTCTGGTTGATTTGCATTTATTCTCTCGGATGGCTGGTTCAGTGTTTTAATTGTTTATGCATTTGACATGTTTCTCAATGGAAACAATTGCAATAAAGATGAAAAAAAAAAGTATTTTGTGCTTGACTTCATCCACTTGTATTAAAAAATAAATGCACATTGTCCTCTTTTGGAAGTCACTTTGGATAAAAGAGAGTTACTGTGAGTCTTAATTCTCCCTTCCACAAATGATATAGGTCTTAAACCAGAGCCGAAAGGCTTGAATTCATGAAGTCATGGCATTAATTGTTGCATGCACTTGAAAAAAATGAATATCTTCCGCAGTATGTTTGTCTTGTTTTCCAGTGCAAATATCTAAACATCTTTAAATCAGTACATTTACTGGAGATGCAAAATGAAGTGAGTGTCTAAAACAAGAACAAATATCTATCAAATGTGTTTGAAAACTTGTTTTCCCTTTGAATTACGTAGATTTTTCTGAGCCCACTGACAGACATAACCTCAATGAATTTTGAGCAATTCCTCATAAAACAAGACTTACCGTCTTAATACATTTTCATTTGAGTCTTTAGACATTTGTGCTGGAAAACAAGGCAAAAATACTGATGAAGAACATTGTGATGAGAAGATATAATAGACGTTATGTTATATTTTCAAACTTTATATATGGAGACTGCATTGATGTATTGAGTTCCATTCAAATTATTCCTTAAATATTCTTTACTTGGTCTTAAATTCAACATCATAAAACCTGCAAAGCATCTGCTAAACACATAAATGTACAGGTGAAAAAGCCAGACGCTTCAGATTTAGTGTTTGAGGAAAACAACAACTTTATTTTCCTTTTTGTAAATGATTAAAGTGCTTTTGATCGTATATGCGTTAGGTGCGTAAATCACACAGACCAGCAACAGCATTTAACACTACACAATTAAAAGCATTCTGAAGACGTTCAAAGTGGTTAAAATCACAATAACATGAGTGTAACAGTGTGTTAAGCAGATTTCTCAGATAAAGGCGCTGAAGAAATCGAGTTCTTCCTCTTCAGTGTCTGCATCGGCGCAGAATGGAGGAGGAAAGAACTGCTCCGGGTCCTCGATCCCCGTCACGGCATTAAAGTAGCTGAAAAACCAACATTAGCGCTGTTCATTATTACTAGGGTCAAAGAACAGATGCGTAAAAACACATATTGTAGAGTTTGCTTTTGTCAGTTTATTTTCATGCTGGTATCACGTATGAACAGTCACGTACGTCGTAACGACCCATCCAGACTTAGCCGTGTAGTACAGCGTCGACACCGGGATGCATCCGAACTCTGTGACCGTGGCCAGATATTTACCTGGGAATTAAAAACAAAAATCAACTAAATGTATGCAGTGATTTTAACTGTACGCAATGGGAACTTCTGTAGATGAAACATTAACAGCAGCGAGCAGTTGTAATAAAACTGGTAAACATGCAAATCAAACTGACGTCAAAAACTTGACATGACGCTGATTTGATGTAAACCGAAATTCAAACATATTGGTCTATTTATTAAACCAATTTCAGTGTGATTTTTAATTTCAACTTCCAACTTTCAACACTGGAAGAGATTGCCGTCCAAACTGAATTTAAAAAGAAGTTACAGCATCTTAATCAAGTATTGACTCATATTTGACGTTAAATTGATATCAAGGTGCCTGCTGGGTAAAATAAAACCAGGCATAGGTTAATATGCATGAACATGGTTCTAAAAAGTTATGGTGATCTAAAATGTTGCATCTTGTTTTATTAATGGAGAATCATCCTGCATCCTACAGAAATTGTATTTGTATTATTATTATTTTATATTATATATTTTATTTTATATTATTTTTAGTTTTTAAATGCATTTGAAATAATTTTTATTCCTTACATTTTATTTCTTATTTAAACTTATGATTAGTTTTCTCAGATAATGGAAAACATCTTAAATGCATCTTACAAATATATATTTTTTGTTTATTTTTATTTTATTTTTTCATTTTTTAAAATATATTTTTTTATTTTATTCCTTACTTTTTATTTCTTACTCAACTTTATGATTATTATTATTATTTGTGATCACTTTTATCACTAAATGTTGCATCTTGTTTAATTAATGATAAATCATTTTAAATGCATCCTGCATCCCACAGATGTTTTATTATTATTTATAATTTTAAATATTTGAAATACATTAAAAAAAAAATGTTCCTTACTTTATATGTCTTATTTAACTTTATGACTGTTATTTTCAATCACTCAAGCACTTTGAATTACTATTGAGTATCATATTCCTTAAATCCTCATTCATGACACACGAGCAGAACTCTGTTGCTAGTTCTTTAAGCTGTTGCTGAGTTACGGTTAAATCCACATGATGCTCACCTCCAGTCTCAGGCACGTCTCCCGTCCAGGTGTTGACCAGCAGACCTTCACCTGGCGCCGACGACCCTCCCAGAATCACCTGCGACAGCAGCGAGGCATTATGGGGAATGTGTGAGGGGTGGAAGTCTGCATGGAGAGGATTCTTCTGACACGTCCGGTTCTTGTAGTCGATGGTGTAGACCACAGCCTGAGGGGTTCAGTGAACACATTCAGTGACATGACAGCATGCCTGAAACATATGGAAGCCCGTTTCTGCCACATCCTGCTTTGGTAAATCATAATTATGACTTTAAAAGTTATAGAAGATACTACAAAGATAAAAAGTCATAGTTCTGACAGTCAACTGAGATAAAAAGTCATAATTATGACAAAATGTTAACTGTGAGATAAAAAGTCAAAATTGTGAAAAAAGTATTATTAGATAAGTCAAAATTATAACTTTAAAAGCCGTAATTATGAGATGAAAGTCACAATGATGACAGTCAATTATGTTAATAAGTCGAAATTGACAAAAAGTTAATTCTGAGATACAATTAATTGTGTGATAAAAAATGAAACTATGACAAAAAAAATCATAATTATTAGATTATAAAGTCAAAATTGTGACAGAAAAACACTTATGAGACAAAGTCAAAATTGCGACAAAAAAGTTGAAATGATGAGTCAATTATAAGATAAAAGTTGAAATAATTACATAAAGTAATAATTATGAGATAAAATCAAAATTATGACAGTCAATTATAAGATATAAAAATGTAAAACTATGACATAAAAAGTCATACTTAGATTATAGTCAAAATTGTGACATAACATGTCAATTATGAGATATATGACATAGGTTAGTTATGAGACAAAGTCAAAATTATGACAGTCAATTATGAGACAAAGTTGAAATTATGACCCAAGTCAATTATGAGACAAAACTTCTAAATTATGACATAAAAAGTTGAAATGATGACAACAAGTCTATTATTAGATAAGTCAAAATTATGACTTTAAAAGCCATAATTATGAGATGAAAGTCAAAATGATAACAGTCAATTATGAGTTAATAGGTCGAAATTGACAAAAAGTTAATTCTGAGATTCAATTAATTGTGCGATAAAAATTGAAACTATGACAAAAAAAAATCATAATTATTAGATTATAACGTCAAAATTG